AATCCAATACCTCAAATTCACCAAATGCCTGCAGTCTATCCAAAATTTGCTCCATCGGAGCCGAAAAATCCTATAGCAAATCGGCCTATTAGAAGCGATTCGACAAGATGTTCTATACAACAGTTGATTCTTGCATGCTTGGTTTTTAGATTATATATCTATATCTGTATATATATATATATATATATATGCAATGTGAGCAACAAGAACAGAACCTCGAAGACAGAGAGAGAGAGAGAGAGAGAGAGAGAGAGAGTTTGAGCATGCTTGGCCAGGGCAAATATAAGGCCAAGTTTGGCAACCCAAAAATAATCCATCTTTTTATCTTTTTTCCATCACATCACCTCTCTATTTTTCTGTACATCTTTTCGTAAAAAGACAAAAAGTATATTTATTTAGGTCATCCCAAACAACCCCTAAATAAAAGAAAATAGGAGAAATAAATGGGGGCAAATATAAAGCCCACTCATAAACTGGACCTTTTACCACCCCTGACTTGCGTCTCATAATGCTGTCGCAAATATATTTTTTGCCACGGCAAAACAGACAGTCGCAAAAATGAAAAAAAAGAAAAAAGAAAAAAAAAAGAAAGATGCAAAAAGTCAATTTTTTAGTAGTGCTCTTAAGGAAAAAAACAATACCAACTACTAAGGGATTCAATATGTAGTCCTCTTATGGTCCCATTTGCCATTCAGCACATCACCAATGACTTCTCGCTTTTCCTTTAATTACATCCTGCAATTTTATTCATTCAAAAAAAACAGCATCCTGCAATTCCAAATAAGGAAAACTCATAAATAAGACAAATTCTAGTGAAAGTTTGTAGAAAAATACACCTAATTAAGTACCCTCATTACAATGTTGTCCCCAAAAGGGCACTACTGTCAAAAACAGTCTTCTATAACTTTCTAACCTTCTTTTGTTTTTCATGTTCTCAGCTCATTCCCATCATAAGCTCTGCCACAGAGCCCTTGATATCTGACAAGTTGAATGTTTTCATGCTATGTTTTGATCAATGATCATTGATGAGTTGTAATGCAAATGTGTAACACTAATGCTATCATACATGTACCAAAATGAATGGTTATTTAATATGCCATGTAGGGCCAAAGAGTGCCACGTGCAAATTTATGTCAATAATTTGGACGGTAGTTGGGAATTGAGCCAAATTGGGAATGATCATATAGTTTAGAGACCAAATTGGGAAAAATAAACTTTAAGGGCAAGGTAAGAATTCAATAATACTTTAAGAGGACAAAATATAATTGTATATATAGAGAGAGAAAGAGAGAGGGAGAGAGGGAAACCTGAGCAGAAGAAAGCAATTCTGGTGAAAAGCGAACATATCGTTGACTTACCATAAACTGCAGAACTAACATCAAAACCACTGCCAACTTTCCCTTTTCCAATCTCACATGATAAACCCCACCTAGAAGCATTGAAAACTTACTTCAATCCGTTAAACTTTGGCTTGCTCTCAACATTGGCATATGGAAACATCTCAAGTATAACAACGTGCAAATTTGTGACAATACATTAATGATATAGATACGATGATCCAAAAAATCACTTTCATTCTAGTAGCTCAGAAAGCATAATCATTATAGTAGATGTTTCAATTGTAGTAAAAGAGAAAGAACATGATAGGAAAAAAATATGAGCAAATAAACACCACTAAAGATAAAATAAGTAAAAGATTTTAAAAGTACAATAGGAAAGGTACAATACCTGATTCCAATATGAATAGAAGTCATTGCAACCTAAGATTGTAATGTCAAGACCTGCATGAATAATCCAGTTGAGACATTAGATATTTACAATTACTTAATTTTAATAAGAAAGATGAAGCATCAAACATTACCTTGTAAAAGTAGTTTGTGTAACAAATCGTTCTTATCCTTTTCCAATGTCGCAAGGGCTGCTGCTACAGCATATTGCACTGCATATTCTACAAAGGGGTTCCTTGATTCACAGAGATTATAAGCCAACATTGATAAGCATTACCTCAAGCCAATATACCATCTATTTTCCCCGTTATTTGAATTTAGTTATTAAGCCAAGAAAAACCACTAAAAATAATTCTTCTTCGGAAGACAATGTAAATCAAAGTATAAAATTGCAGCGGAATAAAATGTTTAGATCATACCTTTGTTGATCTAAAACCTCGTGGATAAATCACGTGCTTCCAGAATCAAATCAATCAATCCCAGCAGTGGGGTGATATTACAATGGTGAATATCACCCACACAAACCGCAGTGCAAAAGGCTTGATCGTTGTTTCTTGGGAGAGAGTAAGTTTATGGGTAGAAACAAAACATACGTTCGTTTCTCTCTTGGTTACCCATAACCATATATCAGATATATATTATAATATTATTATCTATCCATATTAGTTAATGGAGATAATATCTATATCCAGAGTGGTTATCCTAAATAGGTTTGAATTGAATTCAAAACCTATTTGGATAAGATCCAAATTATGTTCAAATGGTCATGCCACATGGGCGCCCATTACTAACAGACACAAATGTGGATTGCATGGTAGCTGCTGATCTTGCTCCGGCTAGTCCAAGGTAATGAAGTGAAGAGAGAAAAGTAAATGTGGATTGCTTGGTAGCTGCTCTTCTTGCCGTGGCTAGTCCACAGAAGACACAAATCCTCTTGAACTTGGATTGCTTCATTTCATTCTCTCTACATCAGTCGTCCTAGTTGCAATATCAATAGAAATTCAAACTATATGTAGAAAATATTAGCAGAACATCAGGGAAAGTTTTCGTCATAATTTCAACCTAAAATGTGAATTTAGGACCTATTTATAAATCCAAAAATTATGTTCTACATTTAATTGAAACAACCTTCAAGGTCCTAACTTGGCTTTATTACTGCTTATTACAATATACAATGTCAAATAAATTATATATGGCCAACATACATATAGTCTATTCACAAGTTTTGTATGAACCAGCCAAAGACCCTTCACAATCTAAAACTTCAATGATCTATAAAACGGTATATTAAATTTTATGAGATTTGTAGTTTCATTTGAAGAGATCACTGAGTGATGTTTTAGACGCTGCTGTCCGCTGATATAAAACACTCTCGCTCGAGCGAAGGATTGGTCGCTCGAGCGACCAGACACAGAAAACTCTCGCTCGAGCCAAGAAGTTCTCGATCGAGCGAAGAAAAACCCAGACCGCTCGAGCCACGAAAAGCTCGCTCGAGCCAGAAACTACAACTCTCAGGTCCAGAACCGGGGCAACACTACTCTCGCTCGAGCGACAAACTCCTCGCTCGAGCGAAGGACCAAAAATCTGGGCAGCAACACTAGGCTCCCAAGCACAACCAACCTGTACAAACCTGCCCAACACATCCCATAACCCAATATACAAAGTAAAGAGGATGCAAACTAGAAAATAAACAACTACCAACATTCACGGACACATGTCCGGATCACTGTACAACAAGGGTAAAACCGGGATCGCTATAATTTTTATTTTTCTTCCAGAATTGACAATATGCTTTCAAACCAATTTAGGTATAATAAAATTCTGAAAATTCATCATTTGTATATAATTGTGACAGAGCATCATGAGCAACACCATTAGCAATACTCAAAGTAAAATAGACTTTAATCAAGAAAAACTACCAAAGGAAAGATTCAATATCTAACTTTACAGTAGTTAGGAACCTAAACCAGAATAATATATACTACGTCACTAACAAGTCATCAAACAACATCACTATGGATTGCTATCGCTATGTTTGGTTCCCAGGAAAGCATAAAACAACATTTCCAAGAAAGAAAGAAAAAAAACACAAACAAATGCAGTTGCCAGAAAACTAGTTTTCCCAATTTGGGAATCACTCAAGAGACTGATCTTCAAAGCAACCAAGTCCGAAGAGTCCCTGCCGTGTTCGCAGCGGACCCGGGGTGCTGCTGCGCCCAACTCACAGCAGTAACTGCTGTGAGTTGAAACGGCGTCGTTTCGGCTCTAAATAATAAAAAAAAATAAAATTTTGTTTGGTTGTTCGCACGGCTTGAACCCAGGCAACTCTGGGGTGCAAAACACACCTTAACCACTGTGCTACCGTGACCGTGTATCGTTTAAAAACACCTTAAATACGAATTGTCCATTGTTTAAAAACACACCTTAACCATTGGGTGGCGCGGGGTCCCAATGACGATCGTCTCAGATAGAGACCCTCCTTTTACCGCCAGGTTGTGGCAGAGTTTGCAGAGTGTCTTGGGCACTAAGTTGACCTTTAGTACGGCTTATCATCCTCAGACTGACGGGCAGTCCGAGCGTACTATTCATATCCTTGAGGATATGCTTCGAGGTTGTGTCCTAGACTTTAGTGGGACGTGGGAGAGGCACTTGCCATTGGTAGAGTTTGCCTACAACAACAACTTTCAGTCTAGTATCGGTATGGCACCGTTTGAGGCCTTGTACGGCCGACTGTGTAGGTCTCCAGTTTGTTGGGCCGAGGTGGGTGATGTACCTTTGTTGGGTCCGAAGTTGGTTAGGGAGACGACGGAGAAAGTTGAGCTTATCCGTAGGAGGCTTGTTATGGCCCAGAGTCGCTAAAAGAGTTATGCCGACCGTAGGAGGAGGCCTTTGGCGTTTGAGGTAGGTGATCACGTCTTCTTGAAAATATCACCTAGGCGAGGTTTGATGAGATTCGGGAAGAGTGGGAAGTTACCCCCTCGGTTTATTGGTCCCTTTGAGATCTTTGAGAGGATTGGCGAGGTTGCTTATCGTTTAGCGTTGCCGCCACAGTTGTCCGGAGTTCATGACGTGTTTCATGTGAGTATGCTTCGGAAGTATGAGCCGGATCCATCGCATGTGTTAGATTGGACCGACTTAGAGGTAGATGAGGATGCCTCATATGAGGAGAGACCGGTTCGGGTCTTGGATAGGCGGGATCAAGTCCTGCGTGGCAAGACCATCCCTTTGGTAAAGGTTTTGTGGAAACATCACGGAGTGGAGGAAGCCGCTTGGAAACGTGAGTTGGAGGTCCGCGAGAAATATCCGGACTTGTTTATTGTTGAGTAATCTGATATTTAGCTTATGTAATGTTGTTGGACTTAAGAGCTTTATATATGTCTTAAGTTGTAAAACATTGGTAATGTTTTGATTTAATGAAAATATGTTGTAGAACTTACCTTGATATGGGAGTTGATTATAATATTGCAAATGTTGACTATATTGTCGAATTGGAGTTGTATCATGTATATTGATTATGACATGAACTGTGAACCATGTATGTTGGAAATGGTTGGAAATGGAAGAAAATTACATGTTGATAATGCACTTGTAATATATGTTGTGAAATGCCTCTTGAAAAGAGATGGAATTGACTGGTAATGGGTCGGGTTGTTTAATATTATGTTGTAATATTATTGAGAATGGAGAAAACCTGTTTTTGAAAAACTTGTGTTTAATTTCGGGGACGAAATTCTTTAAGGGGGGGAGGTTATAGCGATCCCGGTTGTCCCTTTACTGTTCTGTTGTATTCCGGACTCGGTTCTGTGAAGTTGGTAGTGGTATCTATCTTGTTGTCGTCCTTTAATTCCACTTGATTGAGTTTTAGGATGTTTTGAGCAGGATTGTTATAGGTTGGTTAGGCCTTGGTTTCAATTCCTTGTTGTTCAGTTTTTAGGCAGTCCGCTCGAGCGGGTCTTCTTGCGCTCAAGCGGGGATTGCATACCCCCAGTATTTCGTGTTCCTGCAAAACTTCTGCAGATGTGATTTTTACGCTCGAGCGGTAGCGCTCGAGCGGGTCGGTTGGCGCTCGAGCGGGTAGTACTTTTTGGGTATAAGTTCTGGGAGGGGGAAATCTACGCTCGAGCGGACTGGTTTTCGCGCTCGAGCGGATGTGCTTTATTCTTGTGTCTTGGCGCTCGAGCGGGCTTTATTGCGCTCGAGCGTGTCCAGATTTTGTTCTTGGCGCTCGAGCGTTGTGTTCTCCGCTCCAGCGGGTCATGCGTATATGAGTTATCCGCTGGGTCATTTTAAATCACTTTTTCACTTTTCTTCTCTCTCTTACTTTTCAAAAAAAACACCATTGTTGAGCTTCTCACTTTAGAACTCTACTTTCTCTCTAGGTATTGATCTAGTAGGAGTGATTTCCTCACCTTTGGCCTTTACAAAAGAGTTGTTGATCGTCGAGGGCTATCTTGTGATCCGAGAAACTCGTGATTTGGAGCAAGTTCGTTTTCATCATCTTCTTCGTTGGTTGTCATCTTTTGAGGTGGGGATTCCTACTCACTCTTATGGTCTTTGACCTAGATTTTTAGTTGTTTTGATAGAGTGTTGAACTTGGGAAATTTTGGGACTTAGGGTTTCAAAATGTGTAAAAAGGATTTTATGATTTTGGGCTCATAATATGTATTTTGGGTTTCAAAATGATGATATTATTGTTGGTTAGTGATGTTGGAACCTTTGGGTTAATATCGAGAGTTAGGGGTAAAAGCCCTAATTTGTTGTTTAAAATTAATTGGTATAATTAATTTGGGAAAATTGTGAACTTATGGAATTGAGTTGAAAATAATGAAATTGGCTCATTATGTTGTGAAATGATGGAGCTGGATTTATAAATCGCTCGCTTTTGAAAACATTGATATTTTATCTGTTGGAGCTTTTATTATCTGTTTAGAAATAATTGCTTGGGCTACCGGTGGAGGGTAGTTTTGATTGTTGTAGACAATGCATGATGATTAGGCAAACTAAAACTAATCAATTGGATATGTCATAGAGTATGACGGTTGATAGAATACATTAACGTTATGTATTGATTGATTATGTATATGACCTTTGTGTATATACCCAATTGTGTGTGTGGAGAGATGGGGGATGTACTCTACGGTTTAGGGGGAAGATAGGGGATGGAGGGACCTCTAAACCGGATGTATGTGTGGAGGAGATTAGGGGATGGACTCCACTTGATACAGCTCATATGCATTGATCAGATAAGTGTTGAATATAGCCTATTGGCTTATCTTTGGAAGTGTGTTGATATAGCTAATATGCATACTCTGGTT